AATGTAAAAGTAACAAAAAACGACATATCCTAGTAACTTTTTCGTAAGAATTTTAGTATATATATATGTATAATAATGATGAGAAATGAAAAGGATAGGAAACTTTACAATATCTGCACTGCCAAAGAAACGAGAACTATAGAAGTTTTTCAAAGTAAAAGAATTCTATACACTACTCAATTATGATATTTTATACAAAATTGAATCCATTGTTTCAAATATAGTTGATGTATTTTAGTGTACCCAAATGAGATATTCTATTACTGTGGCAAGATTGTATTTTTGAAATTATTATTGATGAACAAACCAAGTTAAGATGGAATTATCTCATAATTGATCATTGTTGAACGTTGACAACCACTAAACAGTTTATTGTTAAAGTTTATATATTTTGGTTATTTTTGTACTGTTGTATCACTTTATCAAGTGAATACATTCATATAAGAAGAGTAAAACTAGTGATCTTTCTAATTTTAGTAAGAAATTGAAATATGGCACTTCTCGTCAGACCATATCATAATGTCTTATGCAAATAATGCATTAATTTTGTTTTTATATTGAAACAACTCAATTTATGTTTTCATACAATCATCTTTTTTAAAACAAGTCATAGGTTATAAAAATAATGAGATCTAGTAAATGACTCTAGTTTAGTGGTACATCATGTCATTTTTAGTATTTCTTTTTATAATTGATTTCAACATTTTATTTTATAAAAAATTATTTTATTATTATGAAAATTCTTCCTATTCATATATTTGTTTTTCACTCTCATTATTCATTCATCGTAAGTATATTCAAATGATTCTAAGTAAGTATATATTTGATATCCAAAGAAGTATTTATAAATTGCTTGAAATTGAAATGGATATAGTATTTTAAAGTTCTTCTTCAACACTTAATTGTAAGATATACAGATAAATGAACAAAATAACGAACAGATCCTGTTTATAACTTCAACGATATTGCTTTTCTCATCAAGTCAAAAATGATCAATTTGATTTGTGTTGGTCACAGTATATGTACAAATATTTATCTTTTGTTAATTGCCAAAAATTCTAATGATTTTCAGTGAAAATTTACTTTCATGTTGAACGGTACTATATAGTTTTTTTAAAACTTTGATATTACAGTTAAGAGCAACAAAACTAATGGAAGAAAGATGATATGAACTACGTTATAAAGAACTTCAATAGAATAGTTAAATATATGACTCAAATATGTCCAATATGAGATAGAATAAATTATGACCGAACAAACTCCTTTGTACGATCTCATTTCAGATCTAACATTGATATTACTCAACAGCTTGAAAAAAAAAAGACAATCGTGACTATTCTTGAAGAATTGCAAACGTTTTTCAGACGAGTTTCATGCACAATGGTATCAAGAATTTCAACGTACAGAGCAAAAAGTCATAAATGTTTGAGAAAAACAAAATAATGGATTTTTCCTACTGTATTTCTTGTTCGCTTGTGCACGTTTCCATCTATAAAATACAGATATCGATCAAGGTTTATTGATAGAAAAACATGAAATGTAAATAACTCTAGTGTCAAATCAAATAGACTACTAATAAACTATCGCATATCATGTTTTCTATATGAACATAGATATGACTATGCTTACCATTGACAACAAAACTCAGATAATACATGTCTCTGTCATTAAATAAATAGCATATCTAATTGAGTATTGTTGCACAAATCGATTATTTAACAGTCAAAAGACTAAGATCTTATTACAACGATAGTTGAATTTTCATCCATTCAATAAGTTGGTCTTTTTTTTTGTTAGACAAGTTGAAAAGAAAATTTTTCAATTAATCTATTCAATATTTAAGTCAATAGATATTGTATTTCTATTGACTTTCAAATGTGAATGAGTTACTACTGTAATCCGAGACACATAAAAAGAAAAGACGTATAAGTAGAAATACTCATAATGTCGTTTTCTTTTTCTTTTTCAATAGAATAAAAATATTTTCATATTACATAAGTCAAAATATTGTAGTTTGTATTTAATCAATTCATATTCATGATATCAATGCACAAATTAATAGAAACATAATTAGAAATTGCTATTAAAATCTTTTAAAAAATCCATATAAATAGATTGTTTAACTTTAAAAAAATCAAAATTTTTGTTTAATTAACTTATAATGTTCACAATCAATCTTAGCCAAAGTTAAAATGAATCAATATCATCATAATTTATTTAAATTTTCATTGTAATACGAAGCGAATATACTGTATTGAAATCGCTTCATTCTGATGACAAGTAATGAATGAAAAACAAAAAAAAGAAATGATTCAAATCAATAATAGAATTTCTGAGATATTTAATTATAATATCATAATTATGCAAAAACCTTTTTTTCAATGATATCCGCTGTGAAAATAAGTGGTGTCTAAAAAAACACAATCATGTTAAGGACAATTTGTATAATCAGTACAAAGACTATTATGATATCTTAATGTACATCTGTTTTCTTATCTTAACTACTTCAAAATCTCTTGTAATATGTCAGTACATATAATACCAACGGAAATGAGTACAAGAAAAACAGCAAACCTCACTAAAAATCATGTGTTCAAATGAAATTTTGTAGAAGTATTAACATTTATAAAATTTCATATAAAACAGCAGAAGAGAAAGGCGATCATGAAAAATAAATAATTATTAACCAAATAAGTTGTGAAGATACAAGGGAAAATCGAAATTTTTCATTTTATTCATATTCAAACATGAGTTTTTGTTAAATAAACACATAATTCTAGAGAAAATATATAATTTATGAGAAGATTTAACATGTATTTCTTTTCATATTTATTTTACAATGTGAAACTTTTCTAATCAAGAGTTGATTAAAAATGATTATTGTCATGTTGCACTTCAAAACAAACTTAGCATATGTATATCAGATATTCTTTTTATTTCTATGCTCTTTGCTTTGAATTTCTTCTAGAGAAAAATACCAAATAGTAAGTACTATACGATCAAATATGTAGATTTTATTGTTTTACTTTTTTAGTCAACAAAGTTTTCAAAATAGCATTGTTAAATAATCATCAGGACGTTTATAATAAGAAAAGAATAATTATTAATAAACGTAAGATTTGAACATAACTATAATTACAAAATACTTTTTGGTTGGATAATTATTTGGTTGTTCTAATTTTACTCTAGATTGATTCGTTTTTTCTTTTTATATCTCTACTTTTATCGTTACAATTCATTCATTATGCTTCTTTTTAATAGTAGATAAAATTCTATTTTACTTTTATCTGAAATAATAACAAAGTTATTTCTACAGATCAGAACAATATGACTGCTATAATACTTTTCAATAATTTTTATAGACCAAACACTATGCAGCATCGTGTACGTAACACGATTAGAACAAAGAATTAAAATATGAACAATATTGTCGAATGAATTGATCAAACAACTATTTGTACACAAATGTATATTTTTTGTATTTACTACCATTACAAATATTCTTAATGTATATTGCACTTGTCTATTCTTCGTTTATTCTTAATGCTGTTTTTAGTAGCATCTATACGTTCCTCTTGCGTTCATCATTAATTCTACGCTATTTTCGATACCTTGAATGAATACTTCAACAAAATGCAGAATAAAAAATATCTTTCTATTTATTTTTGCATTACAAATTAAATTAATGCTTATTCTAGCATCATTTGATTGCTATTGCTCAAGTACAAAATCAGTTCAACTACATATGTTATATGATATACGAAAAGCAAGATTGTCTATTGCATTTGCAGCTATATGATATTAATTGTTTATACAAGTAGTTAAATAATTATCTTTTAGTACTTTCATACTTTTACTTATGGTTCTTTTTGATTTGTTAGCTATTTTCAATGTTCGACAAGATCAGAAACAGATCTCAACAATAGTAACATGTTCTTATACTCGCCGCAGCAAAGGTCACTTAAGTCAAACGTTCCTTCTATAAGTTAGTGAACGTTCTCATTCACTCACTTACATTTAGTATTACGTATATTATGAATAGAAGTTACAATATAGCTATACGGTCAGGTCCCTGTTACTTAGTACAATGTGATTATTTAATATTCTCTTTTTCTATATATATTCTTTCAGTTAGTATTTATCGACAAGCATTAATCTGATTGTTACAATCAAAGTCTCATCAGAGTAAACCCATGCATATATTCACCATCTGATATCTACCACTAATAAAAATGCGTATCCGGCAGAAAGTATCTATAATAAATTGATCTAAATTTAAATACCGAAAGAAAAAGTACACTTGTTTATTGTCTATTGTTTCTGTTTTTCCACGAAAAGTTTTTGAAATAAACTGTATTTATTAAGTATGATTTCCGATATTGTAGATAAAAACACACTATGCATTCCGAAATTAAATGTTATGTCTATTTATAATAAATAATAGCAACACTGTTTTGGTGATTGATTATACGAAAAACGATATATTTTTTAAATTTATCTTTCTAAACATACCACAAAGATATTTAATAAAAATAGTGTTAGAAGAAAAGCTAAGAAGGTATTTTTCTGCTTGTTTATGTTATTTAGTATTTGAAACAAACTTAAAGAACTACCAACTTTCTAAATGAATAGATAATCGATATTATTTTGAACATATTTGTTTAATTCTTAAAGTAATCGATATGATGTATTTGATGTCTCATACACAAAACTTTATCTTAAGAACTAGCGAATATTTGAGTGTCATTTTGACTTTTGAAATTGGATTCAAATTTATCTGAGTTCGATACTTCTTTGTATAGTCATTCAAAGTTAAACATGAGCAATATTTAATAATAATATTATTTGATTGTATAAAATATTTAAGAAAAGTATATATAAATATATTCGTTATTCAGTCGACAAAATTTAATAAAATCATAAGAGTATTTTAGTACCGAGCCAATGGCAGATGAGCGTCTAAAAACAACACAAGCTTGTAAATGTTTTAATAGATATGATTACTTACAATTTGTCGTATTGATTTCAATAGATTTGGGTGGTACAACAAGTGTCGGTTGACCTGAAGTCGGTCGCCAAACTAATACTTGAGCGGAATTAGCTGTTTTTTTTATTAGAAAAACTGTTCTTGTCTAACAAAAAGAAATAGTCGAATACATGAAGTTACCAGTCGGTGGATATAGAGCACAAGTTGGAATAGGCAAATTTTCATCATAAATTGTCGGTTGTTCCGGCGATGGATCTGAAATAAGTTTCGATCGACGGCCACGCTGTCGTTTTGGATCAACGGAAATTTCAATTAGTTTCTTCCATTCAACAGTACGAAGAATATAAATATCCTTTTGTTTTTTTTTTTGAAAAACAAAGAGAAAATTAACAGTGCTAACATCATCAACAAATAAAATTTCATACTTTCGATTCAAGATCCATTGCTGCAAGCCAAACAAGAAAATGTTGATTTCGATAAATATGTGTTAAACGTGGTATTTCTTCATCACTCGTGGGAATATCCCATGGAATCATAAAAACAATAATCAAAACAAATGTTGATAAAATACAACATTATTTCTTAGATTTTCTGGCATAATCAAACATAACGATGGAATCAAGCGTTAATGGGTAAAGAAAATTCTTTGAAACGTTTATTATTTTGGATAGAGACTATTTAAGTCTAGTATCAGTGAAAAATTCATCGACTTCCCTTCATCTGAAGCGGAACTACTTAGAAAATACTAGTCGTTACGAAGTTTAGAAAAAAATGAATTTTTTTTAGTGAGACTGAGAGTTTAGCATTTTGTCAAGAAAACCAAGCTCTCAGAACATTAGGTTATTCCTTAACAAGCATAACTGCATTGAATAACAAATTACAAACTAGAGTTTGTTACAAAATTTCATCTTTCTTTCGAAAATCACTGTTTCAACCAGGATAAAAGCAAAAAAAGTTCAAAGCAAACAGACATTCATCACTAGCATCGGATTCTCCATCAACTTATGCTTTTTTTTCACTAGCATTCAAAGAACAAAATTTTTCAACTTTTTCGATTAGACAAAAAAAAATAAAAGTTGAAGTTTGTATTAATTATATACGCCTTTTGATTCAGAACCCGATGCTAAATCCAAAAATGTTTATACTGAGGAACAAAAACAGTGTAAATGCTTAATAGTTTAAATACAGCATAAAACTCGAATACAAATCAAATTTCGTAATGCAATATTTCCAAAAATTAATGCGAATTATAAATCAAACTATGCTCTAAAATGATCGATTTTCGTTATGAATTGCAAGAAAAAACAGAAATAGTCTTTGAATGCATTATCTTATTTCGTAAACATCGAACATTTATACGAAGATCATATGTTGAAAGAGTACTGTGTATCCGATAGAGTAATAATTAATTGAACGATTTCTTTTGTAATGATTGATCATTATTTGACGACATATTTCACTATAATTTTTTTTACATAGATTTTCCAGTTGTCGACTCTAAGAAGGATTTTTCGTGTTCTAAGCACTCAATGCTGCTCAGAAATAGAAGCGCTTCCATTTCAAACGCTATCGATCGTCCTCCTGTACATTATACACTCAGCTTTCTTCATTATTAAATTCAAAACTCTTCACTCAGTCCCCTACATGAATGACTGATGGCTGGTAATGTCGATGATAGAAAGCTTTCAACATAAAATCAATAGACATACCAAGGATGAAAAAAATCTCTCATTGTAACTGTATATTTTGATGTATGTGATATAGGTCCATTGATTGTAACGACTTGATGTGAACTACCGTACCAAGGATAATTTCGTCCATCACTATCATTTATTAATGGTTTTTCACGTGTCACCATTTCAGGAAATTCCCATGATGTATAACCATAATCTCCATACGTATCTAGAGATACAACAGAGTCAATTAATTTGTTGAGCTTGTATTTTTTTTTGTTTTCAAAGTTACTGAAGAATTCCATATGTGTGCAAGCTTGAATCCATCCAACTTTCCAATTTTGATTTTCATCAATAGCAGGCATTTGAAAAGTAACGTGTGATTTAAATTGTGGTGTTTTATATTTTAAAACTGATGATGATGTTTCATCGATTAATGTTGGTTTACTTTCAATTTCAGCACGTAATTCAAGAACTTTAATACGTGGTGGTGAACGTGAATCATTCAGTAGAGCTGTTGTAGATAGTGGAATACGTCCTCCATCTTTATCCCGAGAAGGACTTAGACTATTGAATAGATTTGATCGTATTCCATTAGCTACAGGTGATGGTGAATCTGATAATGCTGATCCAGAACCTGAAAATGTAGTACCCATTTTCGATGATGATTGATGTTGCTGACGTTTATCAGATGTTGATTGATTCTAAAGATAGATTTTATATGTTTACTTTCGAAGATTCAACAAAAAATGTATTTTAGATCTAATGGTATTGATTATTCATACTTATCGATGAGAAATCTTTTACAAGAATTTAAAAAAAAAACAAATAAAATTATATTAAATAAAACACCAATAGCAATGGCGGAAAATTTAGTTGAATTATTTTTTAGTACTAAATTTCATAGATCACCAAATCTATTTAGAATTACAGTTTAATTTCAAACTTCGTGAATTCATGATGCCGCTCCTAGTGTTATTGCAACAAGTTACAGAATATCCTCCGTATTGTAAACATCCTTCAAACTTTTCAAAAGTTTTCTCTACGGCGAAGCTATGCCTGTATCTAGAAGTAGTTTTTCACAAAGAACATATGAAGTTTTGATCTTGAGAAATTAACAATCGTTAAAATATATTAAAGGCTTCATGTCGTGGATACCATTAGGACTTTTCAAAATTGTTCACTATAGAACTATATGGCAGTGCTCATTACAGAGAGATTCATTACCAGCAAAAGCTGACAGCTAAAGCTTTCAAAATTGTCCACTATATGAATGTATGCATTATGCAGAGATTCAATTCCATCAAAAACTACTTCGTCGAATCACGAAACATCCGCTGTGAAAATTTTTATTGTATGTAGATTACAACAATTTCGAATCATTGGTTCGGAATAATACAATGAATTTAATTATTAGATTTAGAAGAAATTAATATCATGCTACTTAAATCAATAGCTTATAGAAGTTTTATTTATCTTATATACCTTAGACCATCTTTGTCTATGTTCTCGAAATACGAATGTATCGTCTGTTCTATTTGTTGAATGTTTTCTCGGTTGATCATCTTCATCTAGTTCATTTTCTTTATTATGAATTCTATATACAATAGATGAATCATTGTGATAATAAATTTTTTTTTTAGTAAAGACTACCGATGATCTTTTGAGGTTTGTGAGTGATAAATAAGTCTATGAATGATTCAAAATAAAAACAAAAATCTAATTCTATATACAATAAGAGTTAACAAACCTCTCCGATTGATTTAAAGTATTTTTATTTGTTGACAAAGTTGTTTTTGATTCAAACAATAGATGACGAGGCATAGATTAATTTCTCGTATTTACTTAAATATTCATATTGATTAATTGTATCATAAAATTTATAATATATTCTCTTTGAAGAAATTTCTTTATATACTGATTAAGCAAAAATCATTGAATGATATATTAATATGAACGTAAATAATTGATTGAATTAGAAATGAATATGAGAAAAGTGAGCAACGAAAAAAAATTACAAATTCGAAATCGAAATCGCAATTTTTGAAATTTAAATTTCTAATGCGCCAATGATAGATGGTATCATAGCATTTATTTATCAAATAAAACAAACAAAATATTAAAAAAAAAAGAAAAAGAAAAAGACAAAAGCAGATGTCATTCATTGAAAGAATAAAACAATCTTTGAAGTGGATCCACCTCCGGTCGGTAAGAATTGAAGAGGTGGAGTCAGGAAGTGTGCGTGTCTTGCACAAGATTGTTCATCGTCGCTCTTTATTTTCTTTCTTTACCTATACCATGTAATGCCATACAATGCCATTCATTATTCGTCAACAGCATGGATGATCACGTTCGTCGGATGTCGCACTGATGTGTTTGATCTTATGTTCTGTTGCTGCCACTCATTTTCTTTTTCTTTTTTAGAAGTTCTAGTTGACATTCACCTGTATTTGTTAACGTACACAAATATTGAATAGATGATAATGATCGATTGATTAACACCGACAACAACACTATAAATGTGTGACTTATTTACAAACTAAGACAATCAATCGATCAATCAATCAAGTGTTGATTTCCCGTTGGTTAAAGAACTTCATCATTTTTTTTCACATAGATTAATTTGTAAATAAAGATATAACTACTGTACTGCCATCAATATGTGTGTATATTTGAGATTCTCACCTCCTTGTGTGTTCTGACTATGTCTATGTATTGATGTTAATATGTGTATGTTTATCAAACCAGATTGAGCGATCGATAGACTGAGAATCAAGAAAAAACAATTGAACGAGAGATATATTTGTTTGCTCCGATTTTTTTCTTATCGAGGATCATCATCTCTATTTGCCTCTTTCGCTCTCCATATGTGTCTCTTTATTCACATTCTTCGGTCGATTCCAGTATTTTATTTTTGATGTCTATCGGATGAGAATTGTTTTGTGCAACGTTTATCTAAATGTCAATTTGTTGTGATAGAGTTCAAAATGAATTTGTAATATTGAAGTTTTCAACAAAATAATGTTCACCAATAATTCCTCATGAGCAAACGATTGATTGTAATGTAAAATAGACAAGTTTTGATAGAATTCCATCGATCTTTGAAATAGAGTGATTGTTGAAAAAAATATTTTCACAAAATATAAAGTCAATCATGTTTAATAATGATGTAATGAAAAACGAACAGCTCGTTTCAAATAAAATCATAAATGATAATTAACTATTAACAAAAACAATGTATTCTTTATAGTATCTAGCTTTTTTTTAATTAAAAAAACTCTTATTTACAGACGTCTGCATGCTTATGAAAGGGGACTAATAACCTTTGTAGAAGGTATTTTATAGCTGATACTCCTTTTCCTTAGCTAGTCATGCGTCAATAATCTTTATTTACTAGATTTATGCAATAATCGGAAGAGTCGAAAATCGAAAGAACATAGTGTGAAAGTGAAAAGTCTTCACTACTATTCTAATTACCGTTTATTGTAATTTTCGAAATCATTTAGAAGGATTTCTACTTCATAATTTATGAAGTTACTCGTTATAAATTTTTAATTCAAAAACATTTGCTTTTACATACTCTTTCTTTTTTTTTCTCTTGTTAGCAGAATTTCAAACATCTTCAAAAACCGTACACGTTTACCTTGCTTTTCTTCATACAAAATATTAAAAAATAGTTTTAGAGTTATTTATATTCCTAGATTATCATCTATATACTTTATGAAGAAGAATGAAGCCGGATATTACATTTCGCTCGATGTCTTTAGGAGTTTGATAAAGACTCACAGTTTTTTTTGTTGGTAAAATATTTTTGTTGCTGCAATAAAATCATGTATGAAAAAAAAAAGAAGTAGAAGAAAAAAAAAGAAAAGCGATAAGCGAATATAAAAGAGCATGACGTCAACATCAGTATATTTCTTGCCACTTTTTTTTTTCCTTTCACAAACAACCAATGAATGATGGCGACATAATGAATGTTCTTTTCTCGTTCTTTTTTTTTTACTTCATACAACCAATCGGCAACGAGCATTGCTACCGAATTGAGCAAATATTTGCCATCTTTTCTCTCTTATTTCTCTCTCAAGAAACACATACATACATATTCTCATCAGAGAAGTTGTTGACGCAACTACCTTACCGTACCAATCAATAGTAGTACATCAATTGACTAAAAAAGGTGAGAATTTTTTTTTCAGTATATTTAGTCTGTATTTAAGAAGTGGCGGCAGCTGAATTTTTAAAATAAGTAAAGAAGAGGATACCATCTGTAGCCATTTTGAGTATTTGAGCATCCTTATCATCACTTATCCTTGTTGGGAATAAGAGACTAGTTCGAGTAACAAAAGAAAACGAAGGAGAAAACGAGTATGGAGTCATACGATGATAACCATTATCAAATAGCTAATTTTCTTGATCAACCAGTTACTCCTTGTCTATATGATAGGTAGAAATAAATTAATGATTTATTTTTAAATTAATTTTTATTATAGAATGCACGAATCACCGTTAACACCATCTAATTCAGTGAGACCTACGCTTTGTGCTGGTTGTTCACTACCAATCGATGAACAATTCTTATTATGTGTAATGGGAACATGTTGGCATGAACGTTGTCTTGTTTGTATTGAATGTCAAGAACCATTGGTAGCCACATGTTATCAGAAAGAAGGAAAAATCTATTGTAAACGAGATTATTTTGAGTAAGTAAAATGCAAATATACACATCTATTCTTAATATCAATCGCTTCCGGGATGTTCGCTTCTTTTTTTCTTTACTTGTTTTCCTCATCATTGACTGCGCAATCAAAACATTTCAAAGATCAGTAGAATAATTTTTTAATTAGAATTTTTTTTTTAGTTCAGTTTTTTTTTTCAAACGGATGCAGATGTATCTTTTTGAGGCAGTGAAGGAGACAAGAAGCATTAACAAAAAACCGGGACGAGGAATGAATATTAAAAAAAGAAAAGAGATGTATATATGTCCGATATGAAAACGGAAGTCATTGTGAACGGAAGTTGACGCGCATCCTGCGATATGTGTTTTCAGGGCATCGATGAAGATACATCGAGCGTAAGAGTACTTCTATTTTACTGTTTATGAGAATCGTCAGGGCACGTGCATATACACCTTTTGACTCTCGATCTTTTTCCCTCTCGCTCTCTATCCGTCTCTCTTGCTCTCTTTCGTTATTCAAGTGCTCGTCATTGTCAATTGTTGTATGTTGCTTATTTACATGCATAGACAGACCTTTACTACATATTCCCTTTCCCTCTCTTTACTCCTTTTTTTCCAGTTCAATTGATGACGGAGAAACTGAGTGAGATACTTATGTGTGCGACAATCGATCGTTCATGCTCTTGCTCGTTTTTTTCAAGTGTTCATATGGCAGGCAATGCTACAATAAGAATGAGAAAGAGCAGACATTGATTATGATCAGTTTCCATTGTCATTAGATGTATACAATAGGTGGAGAAAAAAAACTTCTAGTTGCACAAAAGAGAAAGATTGACAGTTGAGAGTGTAGAGCACAGGTGTTTATCTCCTATAGGTAACTCTATTGTGTGAGTCAAGTGTTGATTGATTTTTATTTTTATATATTTAGAAAAAATAGATATTATATTTCGTTAATTTTATTTAATTTTTTTTTGTTCATTTAGAATTTTCGGTATGCGATGTTCAAGATGTAAAGCAATTCTTCAACCGGATGAAATAATTATGAAAACATCGGGTCAAGTGTTTCATTTACAATGCTTCAGATGTTCTCTATGTGATGATCATTTGCATAAAGGTGATCCTTATATGTATCGTGATGGTTTACTTCTTTGTCATGCCGACTTTCAACATCATCAACAACCACAACAACAAATTATTTCATCACATCATCAACAACCTACAATTCGATGTAATCGAAGTAAGTTGAATTTTATTTAATTAAAGAAAAAAAAAAAACTAAACACTTGAAACTTTTTTCTTGATTAGGCGATGAAGAAGATAGTTATGAAGATGATTGTTGTTCATCTGATGCTGTTACATTGAGTAATAGTGTACATCAATCTGGACATAATCATTTACGAAATGGTCGTGGACCTAAACGACCACGAACTATTTTAACATCAGTACAACGACGTAAATTTAAACAAGCATTTGATGTTAGTTCAAAACCATGTCGAAAAGTAATATGAATGAATTATTTTAATAGATTATTTAATTTTTGTTTTTGTATTCAATAGGTTCGAGAAGGTCTTGCAAGTGAAACTGGTTTATCAGTTCGTGTAGTTCAAGTATGGTTTCAAAATGAACGAGCAAAAGTAAATTTGAAATAATTTTCGAAAGAAACAAGAAATTGAACGTAACTATGAAATTATTTTCGATGTGTATATTTTAGATGAAAAAATTACAGCGTCGTCAGCAACAAAATAATACGAATGAAATTAATGAAAAAAAATCGAAGAAAAAAATGTCAAATGATGGTGCATTAAATCATTACATATTTGATGAAGAAGGAGAAAATATTGGTAAACAATTGCATACATATTTCATTAAAGATATATCTTTTTTGTTTTCTATGTATTTATAGAAAATAGTCAATGTTCATCAGAAGAGTCAATACCACACAGTATCTCAAATGGCTTTGGATCATCAAATGATGAAAATAATAAACATGAATCAAGTATGTTAATAAATTGTTTCTATATGTTAATTATCTTGAATATGTGTTTATTTTTGATGATAATAGCTGATGGTCGACATCGTCATTTAATCAATGAAAATTGTTATCCATCACATGAAAATAGTGATGGTGATGTTAGTGAAGATCCAATAA